CAGCCTTGTGTTTCCTTTTCACTGGCAGCAGCCTAATGTCCTAATGCTCTCTGCCTATTCAACCATCTTCCTCTGCTTAGATCTTCAGTTATCTCAAGAGTTATTTGCTCCGTTTAGAGGCACCATGAGGCAATTCCTTTTACAGGTTCATTCCAATTCCTATTCTTTCCAGCCTTATCTCCTCCCCAGTCCCAGTCAGACATCTTAGCTGTAGGACTTGGGGTTTTGGTTTTGGGTTTTGTTTTTGTTTTTTTGAGATGTTGGTTTTTGTTTTCAATCCTTGCGTTATTAATTAACTCCTTCTGTACTGTATCTATTTGACAGGCAATGTGTTCAAGTTTGCGAAAAATTGCCATTGCTGTTTTACCTATTATGGTTCAATGCTCACCCACCAAAGACAGCATTTGGGCTCCAGGCAGACCCCAATTCTTAGTAGCTTGCTTTTACTGAACTTCCTCAAAAAGAACAAATAATTCCCGTCTGGATAAAATCTGAATCAAAAAAGAATGTGAAAGAACTAACAGCTCAAGAAGAGGGTCCACTGCAAGTTCACAGCTGCCACACATCCATTGCCTTTCAACCTGATTGTTTTACCTCAGCTTCCTGGATGCTCTCACCCCCAATTCAAGGTGGATAATAACATCAGCAATCATACACCAATGGTCTGCTGACAATTATAATGGAGGTGTACAGAACCAGCTGAAAGACCATATTGAGAATAACCTGAACACAAATGTGGCTAAATCCAGTTACAGGGATGGAGGGCACCCTGGGCCAAACAATGAAATCCTGAAGCATAAATTCCATGCAAACTCATGACCCCGGCACACAATTAAAATTTTTATCCTGGAATATAGCTGGAGGGAAAAATGTAAAGATAATGAACTTTTAAATTTTCTTCAAGACTTCAACTTTTTTTTAACTCAGGCATTAAACCTGATGAAATTGAATGGATATACACCTATAATTTACCAGCAATTAAACAAAACAAGAAAGGGCATCCATCAGCCGGTCTGGCGGCCTTATTTAAAACTCATCTAAAATTGTGTCTTCTAGTCACTCCAACCACCCTCTGCCAAGTGCTTGTTACAAAGATCACCAAAATTGATAAATTAATAATACTTATTGATATCTGTTTTCACCCTGGCATTAATAGCTAGCAGTGGATCTTGTGTTGGAAAGTCCTGGCACAAAGTTTAGAAAACTTAGAGAAAAAATTCCTCACAGCTGAGTATCTTTTGGCTGGGGACCTAGATGCGAGAGTAGAAAGAGATCATCAAGAGTGGAGAAATGAACTTACTTACCACTCTGTTGTGTTGTAATGAACTTACTTACTTGTGTTGTAATGAACTTACTTACCACTCTGTTGAGTATTTAGTAGGTGGTCTTAGGATTCCCAAATAGGGGTTGAGCTAATAGGGATTGAGCTAGCTCAATTCTGTGTTAAGTTCAATTTTATTTGGCTAAACAGCCTGAGAGAATTTAGTGAAGCTGGAGAATTTATGCATATTGGCACACTGTGGTTCTAGTGTTATCAACTACATCATACTATACACGTCATTTAAAAAAACTACGTAGCTGACAGATATTTGAAGGACTGGTTTTGTACCAACAAGTGCATCTTTGGTGCTCTCTAGTGGCAGACCGTAAATCATTCCTAAATAGCTGGCTCATTTTGTTATTCATGCAAATTGTTGTTGTTGTTGTTTTTTATAAAAGGTACATCACCAAGGGTGGGCCTGCAATCTGGATGAGGACCTCAGCTGAATGCTTTAATCTTTGGCCCCTACTGGTCTGAATTTGGATCAGGGGAACTTGAGGCCACTAGTTGCATCTGGATTAACACTCCCTTTGGCAACAGCAGGAACCTTTCTATCCATCTCAATAGGAGTTGTGGTGTGGGGCAATCTGAATTGGAACCAAGACTAAAAGTGAGGTCCCCTTTCCCTCCCCCTGTTGCAGTCTTAATCCAGGCTGCACCACTTCCACCCCCAGCAGCTATTTACATTCTGTTCTTCATCATAGCACATGTCTGGCTTGACCTGAAGGTGTATCTAGTTGCACTTTGAATTTTTTATTTTGAAAGAGATTGTCCAACTTACCTGAATGACGACGGTCACTAATCATGTTTCACAGCATAGATGCGGCAGACCAGCACACTATCTTCCCAAGGCAAAGTAACAGTCCTGAAAAAGAATCCTAGAACTTAACATACAGGCAGGAGCAAATTTCCATCCTTAAGTACACACAGGGGGGAACCGCTGGCTCTCCTCCTTCCCTCTAGCAAATCATTGGAGGCAGAGGTATCAAGTTAAGTGCATCTTGTTTGCTTACCCTGTGAATCTTTAGATAATGTTAATAAATATCTATGGGGTTTTTTAGAAGATATCATGATCTTCCAGTTTTGCTTCTATTATTTTTCAAAGCACTTTTTTAGTCTGGAGAAAGTGAGGTATTATATTTAACTGGGAAAATAATTTTAGTGTCATTAATATGGAGAAAGGACTGAACCCCTTTGCACAAACCTCCAGTATTTCGTTCTTGAATTGGCTGTCCATACATGGAACCACAAAAACACAAGATCCTGCAACTTCCAGCATGCTCCCACCGACATGGGGCATTCTGAAAGTTATAGGACTTTTTATGCTTAATCATGCATAGGATTGATCCTTAACTTTTACTTAGCACATGGCAACAAACCTAATCAAGAGCTTTGTTGTATCAGATGACTGGTCTATTTCTTGTTTTTTTTCCTTTGAGTGTTCATGATCAGCATTGGAATGATCATATGTCCATTGCTAAGAGGAAAGTCTAATTTGTAAAAATCATGTTTTTAATCCCCTTATATTTACACACACAGAGTCTGTTCAATGTGAGAAGAGCTACCCAGGCTGTGCTAGAAGTAAAGAGTACATCCAGTCCCCAGGTGAAGAATGAGTTCCCTTCCTGAGTTTGCCAAATCTGTATGTAACTCAGATCACATATATAAAAAGCATATAAAACACTTAAGAAACACTTCCATATACATTAAAATATCTTAAATATAATGCTGCATTGTAATAATGATAATAATACAGTGATAATAAAGTAACTACAGGTGTGGAAGAGAGAAAGAATCTATAGGTATATGTGCAGGTATACACTACAACTCTTAAAGGAGTTTAGAGAGAAAGACAGAATGATAAAAAAAGTAAAGAGATTATTAAGGGTGAACAGTTCTTGAGCTAACATTAACCCTAACATTAAGTGGATGATGATGGAAAGAGGAACAGTGTTGGAGAGGATGGACCTGGTGCTGGAGATTCAGGGTTTGATTGTGCTGCTGGAGCACAAGGTTACCTCTGAAATCACTTTCTGAAAGTAGGCATCAAGGGTTGCATGAAAAACTACTACAGTTCCGCTGCCATTGCAGAACTACTTCCAACTTTGCAGCTTGCCACTTTTTCCCTCCTTCCCTTTCCCTTCTTCCTTCCTTCCCTTCCTCTCCTCTCCTCACTGTCCAGCGCTCACTGCCCATGGACACCCACTTGCTGCTTGCTGCTCACTTGCTGCTCAAGGATGAGGTGGGACTTCTGAGTTTGCTTGTTCATAAATAGGGGTCTTAACTCTGATATTCCTAAGTGGGGGAGTGTAGACATATCATGTTATAAAACAGGAATGGGAAACATATTTATGTGAATGAATAGTTTGTTTGAGAGGATGTTTGGGAGCAGTGCTCCTGGAAAAGAGAAAGCAATGTGTACATGCATGAGAGATAATCCTCTGAGAGAGATTTGGAGGAATGGGGGTGACTTAACTGCCAAGAGAGTGGATTGATCTTGAACTGATACTGAATTCGGGAAATTTTGTTTGAAAGCAATTTTTAATTTGGGAAATCCATTAATTTCAGGGGAACCTATTTACAGGTACTTTTAAAATCTTTTAATTAATAAATGAATTCCCAGTTACGAGACAACAGGCTCAAAATTAATTTGCTGCCCGCTCTAAGAACTGGTGTACACATGTGCCAGAACAAGCAGTGAGCCTTCTAAAGTGATATAAATTTCTTATTCTGTGCTTGAACTCTTTGTAACCTTGTTGAGGCCTCAATCTGAAGAGCACCCCTCAAGTCACACAGAAATTCAATTTATGTGTGCTTATGAATGTAACACTAGTGTAAGAGAAATTGTTCAGCTGAAATGACATTCTTACTTGTGATAATCCTGAGGAGACAATTATTGACACCTAACTTTCTATTTAACAGTCCACTAAGGTAAGTGTGGAACGTGGCCTATTTTCTTTAGCAAATGCACAGAAAGCAGGATCAAAGTGCAGATGGATAGGTCAAAATAACCCAGTGGTTGAGTTTTTACATAATGGTATAAAATCTTTTGGATTGTTGGTGGCTGATGTTGGTATCTTACATGGGAGGAGCAGGCTGCTCTATATTGTTGAATGCATCCTTCAATAAAAAGCTTTTTAAAAATCTAGCCGGTGGTTTGTTGTCTGTCTTGGTTAGACAAACGAACCTTTTTAGGCCAGCTGGGGTGAGTGTCCCTGACATAAGGAAGGCGAATTTCAGACTGCAGGTGTGAAAACGGTGTTTTAGATGTTCTCCTCTCCAAGTAATACATGCATATGTACAATTAGAAAAATAGGCAAACAGGACCCAGACTGGGCTAGCACCTCCTTCTGTAATGGGCCGAACCGGCTTTCATTGCCCGGGAGTTCTCCTTGTGTTTGTATTAAGGGTGGAGGCCTAGTCCCAAGTTAGGCAGCCTGGCTCGTTTGACGCCCCGGAAATCTGCCGTTGGCGTCCGAGGGCCTGAGCTGCGGGAGAAGCGAACACGGCGCAAGATTGGAACGCACCGGCGTCAGGCAGATTCCAACGCCCGCTCGCAACCGCTGGCGGCCTCTGCTCGGAGGGGCAGATACATCGACCGGTGCCTCCGCTGCCAAGCCTCCGGTTGTCCGAGTGGGCAAAGCACACGCTAACAAAACACTGCTGGCGAGGGAAAGAGATGACGGTGTTCGAGTTCAACAACTACTACATAGTACGGCTCCTGTCGCACACGCTCCAAGCCCTCGGCGCCTCAGTGGGCGCCCACCCGTGGCCCTTCCTGCTGCTGCCCGTGATGCTCTCGGGCGCCTTGAGCCCCGGGTTCATGTACCTAAGCAACCGCGAGAACAACGACCTCGAAACCCAGTACACGCCGATTTGGGGCCCCGCCAAGACCGAGCGGCTCTACGTCCAGACGAACTTCCCGACGGACGACGCCCAGCGCTTCTCCGCTGCGAGACTGATCAGCCAAGGCAAATATGCCACGGTCTTGGCCGCAACTGCTGGAGACAGCGACTCGCTGCTCACCCGAGCGGCTTTCGCCGAGCTGCTGGCGCTGGACACGGCGGTGCGAGCGCTCAACGCCACCGGCCCCGCCGCCACGCAGCTCTCGTACGACGCGCTTTGCGCGCGCAACAACGGCACCTGCAGCAGCCCCAACCCGCTGCTCAGCGCCGTGCAGGGCGACCCGGCGCGCATCGAGACGCTGCTCGCGGCCCTCACCTTCCCGCTCTTCCAAGGCCGCGTCTTCCTGGGCCCCTTCCTGGGGGGCGTCGCTCTGGGCCCCGGAGCCGGGCCGGCGCGCCCCGTGCGGAAAGCCAAAGCGCTGCGCCTCATCTACTTCTTGCAGGAGGACGAAGCGTCGCAGCGGGAGGCCAGCGAGCTCTGGCTGCAGGCCTTCCTGGAGCGCATCCCGGGCATCCTGGAGACCTTGAACCTCAGCTCCGTCCGGGTAAGTGGCGGCCCTGTGGGGACAGCTGCACACAGCGAAGCATCAAGAAATAAGCACCTCGTGTTAAGTGCTTACTAATCGGCTGCTGCTTCATACGTTATTTTTGTTCATCATTTCAAACAGTTCTTCCACTACTTGTATTTCTTTTGGTGATACTTAAATCAATCCATAATCGATCTTGTACATCTGGATATATTATTATACAATCTGATCAGGTATTTAAATACCCTTTTTTTGCACTCAATCTTGCAAACAATCTTGGAAAAGCTGGATTAATATGCAGGCTTTTGGTTGAAGGCTATTTCTGGATGTTGGAAATTCTCAATAAACATATAAAGATAGATGTTTAAATTCACTGGGGAAAACATAAAATTACATAGTAACAGTAACTTAATTTTTGAAAATGATCAGCCTGCCATTTAAACCCTTGAGATCATTAAGATGCACCATAGGAAAGAAAACATGTAATACTTACATTCTTTCTTCTCTCTCTCAATCCTGCAGGTAGCCTATTTTACCTCAATATCTAGACAAAAAGAATTTGAAAAACTTGCCCAGACTGTGATGCCATTAGTTTCCATCTCTTATGTATTAACAATAGTCGTTTCAGTTATATCATGTACAAGGTAATTTTTCTGTCTTTGTTCTTGGGACAGGGAGGGAAAATCTTTACATGCTGCATTTAGCTGCATCTGAAAAGTGTAAAAACTAGCAACAGTACTTACTTACTGAACAGCGAATAATACATTTACAATGGAATTTACTCAGGTGTCTGTGCAGCTAATCAAAATGTTATAAATGTAATCTTGCATGGATCTATTCAAAGTAAGCTGTCCTGAGCTCCATGGGAGTAAGATAAGTGCAGATACTGTAGGACTGCAGTATCATTCCTGTCTCACCAACCTTTCAGAAAGCCTTTGTGTTATGGGGCAACATACAGATGTAATAAATAAAGTTGAGTGGCAATTGACATGTGGACAGAGGTGGGCTGGTAGACTTAGCTCATTTCGCCTTCTGAAAGGCTTCCAGTGAAGTCACTCCAATTGGACTGTCCCATCATAGAATAAGAAGAGAGGTCCTCATATTGATCAATGACAGAAAGAACAGAAAGCAAAGAGTAGGAATAAATGGTAAAAAGAGATGTAAACAGTGGGGTTGCACAGAGCTCAACATTAAGACCAATGCTTTTCAGAAATTATCTGAAATTAGGAGTGAGGAGTGAAGTGGGCAGGTTTGCTGATGACATGAAATTATTTAGGATGCTTAAAACAAAAAGAGTTCATGAAGCACTCCAAAATCTTCTCCCAACTTAGAACATGGAAATGCAGTTCAACAAAAGCAAATGTAAAGTGATCGATTTTAGAACAAACCTCCTCTCACACAATTATGTATATAGGTTGTTGGGTACTGAGGTATTGGTGACTGAGCAAGACAAGTGAGCAACTTGGCAGCATGCAGAAACAAACCAGGAATAAGCCATATTTCTGAGTTCAAATGTATCAATAAGTCATAGTTAAACCAGAATTTGGAATCCAAGAACAAACAATGTCTTCCAGTTGTGGCCTGTTATTTGTGGGAATGGGCTGAAATGTGACAGCAAGCCACAATTTAACAAACCACAGTCTGGCTTAGCTTTAACATGCAAATGTGGCCAATGTCTTTAACACACAAGAACTCCATAGGGTATTCTGGTATTATTCTATGCAGATTAACACATGAGCCATACAACTCTAAATTGAGTTAAATTCTTTTTAATCTGTTTTGCAGGCTAGACAATGTACGAACAAAAGTATGGGTCGCTACTTGTGGGGTGTTGTCAGCAGGTTTATCTATAGTCAGCAGTTTTGGATTATTGTTGTTTTGTGGGGCACCCTTTGTTATCACAGCTGCCAATTCACCATTCCTTATACTAGGTAAGTGAGTAATGGCATACATTTCTCATGCCTGTCTGACAAACTCAGTGGGTATCACTGCTTAGGCATGAGGGAATAGCCATCCATCTATGCAACTCCTTAACTCTTTGTTCCTTCTCAAGAACATTCTGTATCAATGTACCTGGGAGTAAGTCTCAGTGAAGTCACTGAGCAGATGTGTATAGCAGTGTACTATTTATGTCTTTTCTCTTCCATAGATGCATGTCGCTCATGAACCTGAATTCCTTTATGATTTCTGCCTTATATTTTCTATAGAAAACTAGCAGGATGTGATACGTCTTTTTTTTTAATGTGTACAACTTTCCCATCTTTCTGATTCTCATCTTTGACAGCCATTTCCCCCTTTGTCACCTACTTACCAGCAGTCATCTTTACCCAGAAAACCTGAACTTGTTCCTATTTTCTTACTCTTCATTGTCGTGCAGGTCCATTCTCACTGGATTCTCAATCACAGATCAAAGTAGGTTCAATGAGGAATTCTACGACTGTTAGTTTTATTATTATTTGGCTTAAGTATGTATAGCCAGGTAGGAAATACAAACAGCACATCAAGACTGAATATTGAATGAAATCATACATATTTCCCACTATGCTCCTTCAAAATATATGTTAGTAAAGGACAAGTCTAGGGCCATATGGTAGCTCACATATAAGTAGCATGTGTCCAAAAATGCATGTATGCACCTTCATATTGCTGGGGAACACAGGTACCCTGTACTTATTATGTATTCCAATAAAACGTTGCCACTGCTAGAGTAAATTCATAGTAATTATTTCTATTATTTATTATGTTATAAACATTTTATGAAGTTGGGGTTGGCCTGTGGACTGATTTGGGTAAGTAGTGCCATGTACCTCAGCTACACTAATTAGCAAGTAGCAATAGATAACTGAACTCCCGGGAAAGCTAACAACTTCAGGTTGAGTGGAAGAGCTTGACCTGTGTGGCATTGAGGCATCAAGTCATCTCAGAATTACACGTAAATTCAGGCAGCTACATTGTCAGTGCCAACTGGAGAATAAGGCAAGGGATGCTGATAGTGTTTCATGGAAGACTACAGGTGAGACAGTAGCCATAGTAATTGGCCATACTATGGCAATGTAGAAGGCAACAGAAAATCACCACATTGTATTTTATGAGTAAACTCATTATGGCTAAATAGACTGTCCAGCCATGGTGATATTCAACCTCCAGTGGAAGAGGAATGAGAAGTTATAAATAAATAAGTAGAAGTTACTAATCATATTCCTTTTTCATTCTATTACATTACATTTATACCCTACCTATCTTCTGTTCGCAAGGAACCCAAGGCAGCTTACAAGGTTCTCCATTTTATCCTGACAACAACCCTGTGAGGTAGACTGAGTTGAGAGTGAGTAACTGGTTCAAACTTACTCAGTGAGCTCCATGGCTGGGTGCAGCCAAGATCCCAGACCTCCCAAATCCCAGTTCAACACTCTGACCACTACATTGGCTCTCACCTATGGCACAGGTGAATATGCACTTTATCTTTGTGCTCTCTTTAGGAATTGGTGTTGATGACATGTTCATCCTGGTGTCCTGCTGGCAGCATACAAAAGTGAAGAACAAAGTTGAAGATCGCATGAGTGAAGCCTATGCAGAGGCAGCTGTCTCAGTAACTATCACCACGCTTACTGATGTTTTAGTCTTCTACATCGGAATTGCAACATCCTTCCCATCAGTCCAGTCATTTTGCCTTTACACAGGAACAGCCTTCATCTTCTGCTACATATACAACCTGACATTTCTTGGGGCTGTTCTTGCTCTGAATGGTAGAAGAGAAGAAGGCAACAGGCACTGGCTCACATTAAGGAAAGTCAAACAAGGTCCTCAGGATTCCCAAGGCTGCATGTATAATTGGTGCTGTGCAGGCGGATCTTATGATGAGTCTACTGGGACAGAACCTGAGCATCCCATGAATGAGCTGTTTAGAAAGCGTTACGGTCCCTTCCTTATGCGGAAATGGACCAAGGTGTTTGTGGTAGTCCTGTATTTCTTGTATTTGACTAGTAGTATATATGGGACTGTTTATGTTAAGGAAGGTATAGATCTTCGAAATGTAGCTGTAGATGATTCCTACATTGTTCCATATTATGACTTGGAAGATCAGTTTTTTTTAGACTATGGTCCAAGAATTATGGTAATTGTTACTGAAAGTGTAGCGTATTGGAATTCTTCTGTTCGTGCAGATATTGAGAACTGCATGGAAGAATTAGAACGCTCATTCTATGTGATCAAGAATTTCTCAGAGTCATGGCTGAGAAATTATGAAGCTTTTGCCAAACGCACATCTCTAAATATAGATGACCGTAAAGTATTTCTTGAAAATTTAGCTACCCTGTTTACAGCAAATCCAGAATCTGCAATGGATATTAACTTGAGTGATACAGAAATATCAGCCTCACGGTTTTTTATACAGACGATAAATGTTATTACTGCCGTGGATGAGAAAAATCTCTTAAATGAACTGAGAGGCATTGCTGAAGATTGCAAGGTATCACTGATGGTTTATCACCCAGCTTTTATATTTTTTGATCAGTTCCTTGTGATAGTCCATAACACCGTTCAGAATGTTGTGATTGCTACCACAGTCATGTTAGTTATTTCCTTGCTGCTTATTCCAAACCCTCTCTGTTCTTTGTGGGTAACTTTTGCCATTGCATCTGTTGTTGTTGGTGTGTCTGGTTACATGGCCTATTGGGATATCAATCTTGACTCCATATCCATGATCAACCTGGTAATTTGTATAGGGTTTTCAGTAGATTACTCTGCTCATATTTCATACGCCTTTGTTTCCAGTGAGAAACCCAAAGTGAATGAGAAGGCAGTGGATGCTCTCTATCGCCTTGGTTATCCTGTTGTGCAAAGTGCTCTTTCAACACTTGTGGGAATTTCTGTGTTGTCAATGGCACCTACTTATGCATTTAGAACCTGTTTTAAGATCATGTTTCTGGTAGTCATGTTTGGGGCTGCTCACGGTCTCATTTTTATTCCTGTGTTTTTAACATTCTTTGACTTTTGTAGATGATTGAAAATCATATGGAACCAAAACAAAGACCACTGCTTTGAAAAGTCACCCAGTATTGAACGAACTTCTATTTTAAGTGGAAACTTTATGCAGCTGCCTACCTCTGCAAAGAAAATTAAATCACCTCTCCTTCCACTTCAAGGTTCAGGCCTAACGATTTTATTGCACAATGTAGCAATCTATGTAGCTCTTCTGTAATGCAAGTATACTGTTTGATAGAGAATTTCTATTTATAGGGAGTTGATGGGTCATTAGAGCAAACATTGCATGTCAACAAATTATGGTGTATTTTATTGTGGACTAACATGAATGTTATTCAGATCTTCGTTTGGAGCCATTCTGTTTAAGAACATGCTTTATTTATTTGTTTATTGCCTTTAAAATGTGGCAGTGGTGCCTGACTGATTCTCTGTATTTGGGTCCCTCTCAGTTGTCACTGCAGGCCAGGGGTGTGACAGCCACCATGCAAATTTGGGAGAAGGGAATGTGGTGCAGAAAGGCTAGCAGGCAGTGGTGGTAGCTTAAACCCCCATACAAGGTAAATCAAGTCTGGCTCCAAATCGCAATGGGTCTGGGCACACCTTGCATTGAGGTAAGGTTATTTTGAACTGGTGAGTTTGAATTCTGAGATACCCCAGTTTATATGTTATCCCCATCAGTAAAAAGAATGAGGGAAAAATCAATGTAAGAATTGGCAGTTAGAAAACTTGGACAAACTTTAAATCCTTAAATGTCTGGAATCTGATAAGTCTTTTTAAACCAGAACCTGAGTTGAATGCTTGTATAGGTCTGCCTTTTTGTGGTATTACAATATTCATAATTAAATTATATTGCTCAGTGTATTCATTTATTGGGTTTTTTAAAAAACTCAGATGGAAAATGAAATGTTAGCAGGAGCACGAGTGACACTGGCAGTGTAGAAGAAAACTTGACTAACAGGAAAATAAAGTTTGGTTCTGTGTTTCATCTCAAGCTGGACCTAGGCTGTCTGTGAACTATACAGTTGTGGTACAACATTCTGAGCACTATTTTAAATATACATTGCTTCAGGATTAGAATTCCTATTTGTGTATCGAGATTTTAATTCAGAAATGTTGCTTTAAGGTCTGCCTAATAAATGCAAATCACACTCATGTATTACAGTCATCTTTATTTTATTTTCTCTCTTTCAAAATAGTCCTGTGCAAAGATGCAATCCACCCCCATCCATGTTCAGCACATTGGACATGTGCTGTCATAAACACTGTACAGAATTAATAGAATTGTAACAATAATGCACCTATGTTTTGCAGTGGTTTACAATCTGTATTCCAGGGAACTGTAAGGTTTTGTGAAAGATACTTGGAATTTCTCAACAATTAATGGCAAACATCCATGAAGAAAAGCCACAAAATGTCCATATGGAAAACCTTGGTTAGCCAGCCAATGTGTTGTGTCTATGGATGGATGGATGCCACTTCCATCAAACATACTTTCACATTTATTTGTTCACACAGGCTGTATCAATGGATATCTTTTGATAGCCAGAATATATTACACAGCACAACCATGGTCAGATGGTCTTGTCCAACTCTTTTATCAGATGTATGATTATGGCTATGTGCTTGCATCCCATTTTTATGAAGAGAGAGAATCTCAAAGGTGCAAACATTTACCCAGGAGTTTACTTTCCTTTGAAAAGGTTCACTGGACACTATAAGCAGTTTGTAGTATTTGCATTTATGTACATTGTAAAAGATACTCCCACTGGTATCTTTTTCCACATAGATTCAGTAGTTTGTGATGATTGGTCCTCTAAGACAATCTGTGATTCTGAGTTGTAAGCCTGGAGTTTGGCAAAGTGTGGGGATTGAAATGAGATTATGGGAGTTGTAGGACTTCAGGCTCAGGGAAAGCTGCTTTTGACAACGGTTATATTAAGAAGTAACCCCCACTGCACACAGACATAAATAGAGCTAATACATGGAGGCAGGGTAGCCACCTTTTCTTCAACGGCCACCATGCCCTCCACAGCACCAGTCCAGCTGTTCACATACTGGGTGTAGGCACCTGCAAAGGGGAATCCACTTGCAGACCGATCTACATGTATTGCCACTAACACAAGGTACTGTCCAGCTGCCTTCCATGCTAGCCCTTGCACAATGGATGGAGATGAAGCTAGCTTTTCAGTGGGTCATTTGGCATAGTTGGGCACTGCCTCAGGCTCAGACCCCATCATCTGTCCACTGATAAGCTCCTTGAACTTGCTCCATCACTCTCTGCATTTGTTCACCTGCTTCTACCTCTGACCCAGACAGCAGTGGAGGTGAGGAGGCACTGCCTGCTTGCTCACTGGCTTGCTGACTGCCTATCAAACCAGCAAGTGGTGGTAATTAAGACAAAGAGGAAGCAAACAGCTGGTAATAGCAACTGGTGAGAAAGTTAATGAAAAGGGAGAGTCACTGCAGGAGGGAGCCTACCATACCTTGGCCATGGATCCTCAACATCTACACTGGCATGCAAGTGCACCTGGGCATGGTCTCTGGAACTTCTCAGCTGTGCCCTGAATCTTTAGCGCTGTCCCCAAGTGCCTTGATCTGCCTTCATTGCCGTTGCCTGCTCCATCCCTCTGAATTCAGTAGCCCTACAGTTACTAGGAGACCTTAGGGCTCATTCTCTTTGCAAACTAATGGAATGTAGCGTGAAGGCACAAGGCTTTTAAACCGAAGCAGAGACTGCTAACTTTCCATCTGGAGTTTGCTCATTATTTTCATTCAGTCCATGCAGCCCCACTATCACCCAGCTTCCTTGAAATGTGCCTGACTACAGAGAACTAGATGGTCAACAGCAATTGCACTTGTGTGCTGGGCTACTGCAGGCACTGAGGCCCTGACAAGGGAAAAAGCATCCCACATTGGCTGCTCACATACCAAATACAGTCAGCTGCCTTCCTCTCCCATTCCTCCCTCCAAGCTGGCCTTAGGCAAAAAGCATTTGCATGAGCATCACTGTCTGAATTTGGGCAAAGTAGTGATGGCTTGCTGGTGCCTGCAGTTCCTTGGGTCTGCAGCCACCTTTATGTAGTGTACCCATAGCAAATTATATATTTCTATGGGCACTGATGTCTAGTAATTGCCTTACATTTGCAGCCTATAAGGGTTATTGCAGTCTAATATAATTTCCACATTCAATTTGCAATTAATAACTGTTAAAGAACATAAGGATACATAAGTTCATATGAAAGGCGTTTTGCAACTGAGACCAAATAGATAATTTGTTTGTGTATGTGGAGGGAAGATGGACATACTGTCTCACTTCAGACCCAAAACACAAAAAGGAGACAAACAGAGGCATCAGCCTCCAAACTACAACACAGAAACGTAGCTCAAAATATTTTACAAGGCAGAAATGGGGAACTTGACCAGTTGTTTTGGCCTCTAAGTTCCATCAGCACTGGTCAGCACAGCCAGGGGTGAGGAATGATAGGGACTGCAGGCCACAACTTTTGGAGGGGCAAAGGCTGCCCATCCCTGTACTTGAAACATATTGATGAATTAAAAGCTGTTCTAAGCAATAGGCTAGTCCTGCACTGCACTGCCATAGAGCCTGTGGAGAGCAAGCCGGGTCTGAGCTGGATAATTTCAAGTTACCTTCTGACCTGCACGCCCAGGGGGCCCACTGACCCCACGTAACTTCAGCACCTGAAACGCTCCATCGTTTTTGCATAAGCAGAAGCCTACCATGCAATTCTGCAGGACGGAGCTTGGGGAGCAGCGGTTGAATATGGAACTCACCGGCCACGCAGAAAACGTACGCACCACCATCGATAAGCGTCCGTTGACGAAGAACAGCAGCCGGTCTACCAGCTGTGAAGTGCCTTTGATTTAGCGGGCAAGGAAGGGGCGGGAGAAAGCACATGCCGCCCCACATTTGGCGGACCGACTGCGTGGAGCGGCCCCTGTCGCGCGCGCTCCGGGCTCTCGGCGCCTCGGTTGGCGCCCACCCGTGGCCCTTCCTGCTGCTGCCCTTGGTGCTCTCGGGCGCCCTGGGCACCGGCTTCATATTACTACGCAGCCGAGAGGCCAACGACCTCGAGGGCCAGTTCACGCCGGTCGGCGGCCCGGCCAAAAGCGAGCGCCGCTTTGTCCAAACGCACTT